ACTCTGGAATATATGTGGATTTCTTGCCCCCAAATAGTAGCATTCTCACACGAGGTAATTAGATGGATAGAGACACTGACTAATCAAAAATAGATATTAATGAAACATTATTGTTATTTTCATTATTCACAGGGGGAAATGAGAAACTAGAAAATAATTAGTTGCAAATCTTATAGGCACCGCAAGATCTGAAATTGCTAAGTATTGGAAAAAAGCCCAAGATCTCTCATTACAAGCATTCACTAGTAAGATATGGCATACAATATTGATGACTAATAAAGTTAGATTACATAGAGGAGAAATAAGCTACAGTCATTTCACTGAAAATTGGAAGCCTTTATTAAAATATGCCAACAAAATAAACTTTGAGACATGTGGTTTGGAAAAAAAATTGGAGCATTTAGATTGTTGGTTGATATTTCTTTAAAAGGTGACAGGTAATGGTATAAATGTGATTTAGAGAATTGTGGGGAATAGCTTTGTATTTAATATTTGTAATATGATGGATTGTCTTTTCATTTCTTTAGAAATATAAATAAATAAATTTATAATTAAAGATCACTGGGGAAGGTGGAAATAGGGCACCAATGCCTGCAGCACAAGAATAGGTAAAAGGGAGCATGCCACATCCATGTACTTCCCTGATACATGCACACCAGTCTTTTCCTTTTGACTTCAAAAGGTCCCTTTCCCCTTGGGGGGCAGTTTCACTGTGTCATGGGTCCCCTCAACCAGAAAAGGGATGCACAGAAATAAAACAACAAATAAATAATACGTTATGAGTGGAGGGGGTGACTTCTTTTACTCCTCAGAGGACCTTTTTTCAAAATCAGTATTGAAGAAAAGGTCCCTTGGGCTCAAAAATTCCCCTTGTAGCCTAAGAGGGTGCAGGGGAATCTGTTTAAGAGAAAATAAAAATGGGGCCACAAGGATGGCCCATCAAGGGCCCAGATGGGGTTGTGTGCAGCCTCCAGAACTTTGGAAGTTGACCAAATGCTCTGAACTAATGGGAGACATTATTCAGATACAGTGGTGCCTCGCATAGCGAGGTTAATCTGTTCCGGATTAACTCTCGCTATGTGAAAACATTGCTAAACGGAACATAAAAACCCATTAAACATTGTTTAATGCGTTCCAATGGGCCCTAAACTTACCGTTCAGCAAAGTTTCCTCCATAGTGGCAGCCATTTTCGCGCCCTCGGTAAGCGAGGGGAGGGCGCGAAAATGCTGTGCGTGGCCATTTCGGGCGTCCAGTGGCCATTTTAGAATCGCCGAACAGCTGATCCGCGGGCATCGCAAAGCGAAGATCGGTAAGCGAAACGCATTAGCGGTATGCCTCCGCATTAGCGATCCCGAAAAGGGGATCGCTATGCGGATTCGTCGTTGTACGGTGCGCTCGTTAAGCGAGGCACCACTGTACAAGGGTAGGTGCTTCCCTCTCTAGTCTTGTCTCAGGGCTTAACTTTCTGCATCATTACTTGTAGGCTTACCTCCCTGGTCCTTCCTACAATTTCTTCTCCAGTTATTTCCGCCTCCTTCTTCTTGAAGCTAGGAAAAAGCAGCCACATCGTATAAGCCCCGAATAATGGCTGCCTAAGCAGACCTTCTTATGCAGAAGCCAGCTCTAGGGGTCTATGTAAATACATTTAGAAATTTCTTCCGAAATCTTTAAAGAGGAAACGGTAAGGATTTTTGTTTTGTTTTGTTTCTTTGCTTTCCTTATCAAAGAAACGATAGGACCAGAATGATTGCTTTTCTATAGTCATTGCAAGCTGAGTGCCAGGTTGCTGTGCTCTGATGGTCCAAATGCTAAATCATCTTTCCAGGAGAGTTCTCTGGATAAAATTTGGGCTGCAGAAGGTGGAGCACAGGTAGGGGAAGGCAAAGACATGTTGCCTGGGCAGGCTTCTGACTGTGTAGCATTGGATTTTACTCTAACTATATAAAAGAAAAGCAAAAACTGATATTTTTAAAAAGGTGAGATAATTAAAAGTCTAAGGTTGTTCAAATGCCCAGATGGAAAGATATCTACAATTCTCAGTATGGATTAATATTGTAACATTAATGTAGGAATGGTGAAATTTGAAAGAATATAGGACTTTCTGCTTTAAAAAATATTATCTTTGCTTTAGGTTGAAGTTGCTACCATTTCAGAGGCATTTATTGAATAATGTGAATTAGATTTTCAACAAAAAATTGCTCATGGATTCAGGCACACTGAATTAATGATGAATCTATAACATGATCAGACAGTTTCATTCTGTTTACACATTTCACAGTGTTTTAACAACTGATTTGTTCTAGCTATTTAGAACATACCTTGGAAAATCAATATTTAATTGTACAGCAGTTATGGAATAGTATTGTGTAGGTTGTTTGGCTCTAGAAGTTAATCTCATTATGTGAAACAATATGGTTGATGAATGAATTTCTTTCAGTGCTGCACGTTTGTGTACGACCATTTATGCATGTCTCCCTTTATATACATTGCTAGCACAAAGCTTGTTATAAGAATGATAAAAGAATCCAATTAAAAGTTCTGACAAATAAAGCATTCTTAAGATCAATATGTGTTGTATAATTTAGATCTCATAAAAACTAGCTAAAAACATAATAAAAAGTGTTTGATGCACCATTTTTATACCAATGTAATTTCAGTTTTAGGGGGAAATAGTCAAACAATGATGGATATTGGATAAGAAACATATGTTTTAGGAAGGATTTTGCTCTGAATAATAAATCATATAGTGGAAGGAACCAGAACAATAAAGAGGTGCAATGTCTTTGTCCTGGGATAAAAACAACTACATTTTAAAAATTCAGAGCTATTTTCAGATCCCAATGTGAGTCCTAGTGTATTGTGTGGAATTCATATGCTTGTGTTCACCTAAGGGTACCCAGTGTGGTGTAGTGATGAATGAGGACTCTAGAGAACAAGGTTCAAATCCCCACTTCGCCATGGAAGCCACTGGGGGTGTGGAACTGGTAAAAACCACTCCTTAAATATCTCATTTACTTTGAAAGCCCTATTAGGTTTGCTGTACATTGGTTCCAACTTGATGGCACATACTGTAACAACATTTCACCTAAAATCCCAGAGCTGCAAGCAGCTATAATAAAATTACAATATAAAATAATTAAAAGGTAGACATCTTAGATATACAATATTCTCTGATTCCAGTGAATTCCACAGGCCCTTCCCCCCATTTCAGTTTCCCTAAGTGGGAGCCAACTTTCTGCCAATCTGAGTATGCTACTTCTGCTTCACTGCATTATGATAGACTGAAACATGGGATAGGATTTTATTTGTTTGTTTGTCCCAATATGTTATATTGCTGGGACCAAAAACTTACCAAATAGCACAAATCAATAGATTGGTAGGCACATTTTTGGTCCTGATCTTTAGATAAGAAAAAAATGTGCATGCCAAATGGCTGAAATGGGGGATATACTGTTTTCGAGTGCCAATGTTGTAGATGTGCATCTGTGCAGATTCCTCAACAAAACATGATCTGGGGGACTAAAAAGTCAAATTGTAGTGCTTGAGGATTAAGACACAAATTTCTCTATATCACTCACATTCATATTGGTAGCAGGTACGTTTCTCTGTCTTGCTTGCTCACTCTCATGCGCACATAGACATACATCCCTGTGGATTAACTTCTGTCAGCGGTATGTGATCAGTATATCAAATAACAGTGTGAGCAACTTGTGCAGCAGAGTGTGACCTCAAGAAAATGTCATTGTTAAACATGTTGTTTTCCCCTTAGAGTAGCTGGCCAATCCTTCAAAATAAGTAACAATGTCCCATGATTCCAAGGAAACATCCAGTGAAATGTTTGCCATTATGAGCATCAGCCCACCTCACCTGAGATAAAAATGTTTGTAGATCTAGTAATTAATTATATTGGAGTGGGGGGAATCCATCACCCACTGCATCACGGTTATGGTTACGTTTCTTGGTCTTTGAGCCACTTTCCCATTGTGCCTCATGCAGTACTTTGCTCCCTGTAGCTTTGCTGCTCCTGTTTTTGGGGAGCAGGCAGTAAGAGGGAATATTCTTCATTCTGTTGATGCACTCCAGAGCTCCAGAGGACTTGAAACTCACAATTGCACCCACTAGTTGGCATAGAGCAGGCTGCTTTTCTGTTTGTGAGCTAGATGGGATAGCAATATACAGTATGTTACCAAGCCATTGCATAGATTTGAAAAGAGTTATCCAATATCAAGAGCCTGGTGTGCCAGAAGACAGAGCAGATATAATTCAGAAGCACACTGGATACCTCTAGATCATGGCAGGGAGCTGCCAGCTGTCCCAGAGTTTGAGACTTCACCTCCTAGAAGCCCCAGTAAGCATGTCCAGTGGTAACACATCATGGGTGTTGCGGTGCAAAGCCTTGATAGATGATCCGAGGAAACAGTTTGTAGACATTGAACTGTGTACCATCTTTAGAGGAGGAAGAACGATGCTGAACCACGGTAGTACTTCATGGAATTACTGTATACAAAATAGTAGAATGTAAATTTTCTTGACAAGTTTTAGTTGTATGTGCTGCAGTTCAAGAAAGGATTAGTAACAAATAACTACTAGGTAATATGATACTGTATCCATATCCTCAGAGAACAAGCTGTTTAAATAAATGGTATTTGACACAGCCATAAAGGCGTGCTTCTCAGTTTTAAAACAATTATTTTTGTCAGTAGTTAAATATGCAGAAATTAAGTTGTAACAAGGTTTGGCTGCAGTCCCATCCTTTCAAAGCTCCTCAATTTATTTTGAAATCAGGATATCTCATTTGTTTCTGCCCAACACCTTCACAGTGCTCAGATAAGAAGTCAGAACAGTGTAAGGAACAGACAAAGGCAGACAGAACTATGTATAGACTTGTGGCATTGCACCTAAACTAGCTGCTGCAATATGCACGGAGGGACAACTATATGTATAATGCTCCTTACAAGAGAGTCGACTCTATTTTGCACATGTTACCTTTACAGTGAAGTGAAAGTGGGAGTTCTTGCTTCAGTGAAGTTCCTTGTACATGTCTCAGTGTTATGGCATTGGCTCTTAGTCATACTGTAGGCAAGGGAAAACAGCATTGTTCCACATTATAACACTATGGAACTCATTGAATCCTATGAGTCAATGGGCCTAAAATTCTTAAAATAACTCTAGACTAACAGACTAAAAGCTGACTGATAACACAATAATAAGCAGCAGTTAAGACATCATGTTGTTTTCAAAAGAGACCTTGCCATAGGTCTGATAGTAAGCAAATTAACTACCACCCTGATTACAATATTTTGTTACTTGGGGATCTGCTAAATTCTGTATGACAGTTACCATTTTTGCCTCATCAGAAAACAACAGGGAGAAAGAAATGTTCAAAGCATTACATAAAGTAAGAACTCTTGTCCCTGAAGGGAGTTCTTATTTTCTTTTGGCTTTTATTTCAGCTGTGGGAGCCAGTTTCTTGAAAGAGTGTGGGAAGTGGACTTAGAGGCCTGCCAGCTGTTGATCCAACAGTTTCATTTGAAAGAAGGTGGTGGTTGTGCTTCTGATGGAGAAGAGAGCCAAACAGATGAAGTGGAGGATGCTGCCGATGCTTCTTGGAGCACCAAGTGGGAACAATCCAAACACTTTCCAATTAAGGACTCCCAGTGGAGTGTTCTCCAGTGCCCTGTCATCCAAAGCAAACACCCAAGTGCACACTGGGAACGAAAAGAGGTATCAAGATTTTTGTTTTGCTTTGCTTTGCACTTTGTTTTCCCTCTGATGTCATTTCAGTTTTCACAGGGGAAAGGCTTGCTTGGGTTTAAACATTAGAAGTCCTAATAGGGAGTGAAAGTCACTCTTGCAGTTGGATTGATGGAGCAAAAAAGGGTGGTGTCACACATTACCTCTTTCCTACATATAACATGTTACCTCGGGATAAATCACAATGCAGTAAGACAGTCCTGCCTAGATGTAACCCATCTCACAGCTGAAGTGCCTTTCAGAGTAACGCTGCAAGTGGTATCGTGTTCTTCTTGCTGAGGGGCAGCGTAAGTCATATGAGGTTTTGAGTGAACACAGGAAAAGAAACCAACTGTTATCTCAGTTTGGAATGGCTGAGGGATTTCAAGCTTTCTCAGAGATGTCTTTGGAAGACTTTGGGGGCTATTCCAAATGATTTTGTGCCAGCTATTGTTATTCCCAGCCTACCATGGGGCTAGCTTTCCTCTTCCCCCTTTAATCATGCAGAGAAATGTATGCTGGTCGGGGAGAGAAATCTCCTGCAGGCAGGACCACTCGGAGGTATTCCTTCTCAAGTGATAAGCCACCTGGTCCTGGACTGTCTCCTCCTTTCTTTCTTTCTTTCTTTCTTTCTTTCTTTCTTTCTTTCTTTCTTTCTTTCTTTCTTTCTTTCTTTCTTTCTTTCTTTCTTTCTTTCTTTCTTTCTTTCTTTCTTTCTTTCTTTCTTTCTTTCAATCCAGCTTTGATGCAGGCCAAGTGGTTACCTGTGTCTTCCAAGGTAAAAGTGACAAGCACGATGAAGTGAAGCACTGATTGTACGTGGATTACAGACTGTCCCATGCTTGCCATAAACATCTTTAAAAGCAAGATTGCTTTCTGGTTGAAAGTGGTCTGAATATGTTCATCCTGTTACTAGGGATCACATCTCACCTTCATGCAAGCAAAACACTCCTTAATTTTTCTAAGAGTGAAAAATAGCTTGCAATGTATCGAGAGCAGAAAACTAGCTGGATACCTTGTAGGACAATTTAATGGTTGCCTGTACTCTAGGAGTTAACTTATGGGAAGCTGATAGCTAGCTAGTTGTACATATGAGATATGAGTTAGACATAGATACTCTTGTGGTACATTACAATGGAATAATTCACTGATAAAGATGGAAAGTTGTAACCTAACTACTAACCTGGTGATGGGGTGAAGAGATTGAGAAAGAATTATGAGGAGTTTGTGAGACTTAATGAACCAGATTTTTCAGTTCAATTTTGTCAATTAAGTCTTAGTTCGCCTTTGGTATTAATTACTTTGCGGAACTGTAAGGATAACTGTAAGCTAGTTTCTATTACTTTTAATGCCTTTGTATCTTGTTCACAAAAAATAGATGGATGCTTAATTCAATTTTACACAGGGTTAATACAAATGGATTCAGGATTGTTTAATGGTGCTTAATTGCACATTAACAGCAAATTGAGACTTACAGAAGGCATGTCACTAAAATACTTTGTTTCTGACCTGCCTAATAAATCGTACAGAATTGAATGGCCAATGGTACATTCAACCTTTCAGCAAACAAAGATGTTCACTACACAGATGACATTTTCATTTATTGTGCCTAATGACGGTTCTTTCTTCTATCTGTGGTTCTCTATGAATCTTCAAACAGTGATAATGTTGCTGGACATCTTAAGCATGGAGCAAATGTTCCAGATAAGTGTTGTAAAGACACTTATAGAATGGGTCTGGAAAGGAAAGCCCCATTATGGCTTGCATGTATGACCCTGCATTATTACCACCTCTCTTCCCTCTCCTTCTAGCTACTTGTCTACATGTTTGTGTAAATATATGACATTCTGCTGCTAGCAAAGCAGTAGAAAATTACAGTGGTTAGAAGCTGTTTATTCCTTCTTGTTGTTTGAATGTACAACTAGGGCTGTTGGACTACATTCAGACTATTTGCTATGGGGACTCTTTTAAATACTTCTGGCAAACCACTTCAGCTCAGACTGAGGTCTAAACATAAACCTCAGCCAGCACACGATTCCATGAGTTCCCTGTTGGCAATTAGAAACATCATGTGTTATGATCAGCATACTAGGGATGCTTGGAATGTGCTCCATCTAGAAAGCCTTGTGTGAACAACAGCATCTGTTCATAACTAAAGACAAAAACAATTATAATGTTTGAAAGAGACCACCAGATCAACTATGGTGCATATGGCAAGAAGAACATCTGTTGGAGGTTCTTCTTGGTTATAGTTCTTACCTCAAATAAGGACTTGGGGTGCCTCAAGAATCCAGTATATTTAGTTTCAGTGCCAAGTACTCAAGAGGGCAACTATTCTTCCAATACTGGATAGAACATTTAGGAAGCAAACATAGTTTTCTTTTTTCATTCAACCAGAAAGAACATTATGAAAATTGTAGTCCATCATCCCTGACAATAGGAGCCAATTACTTCTTTATTCATTGATGACTTAACACCTCCTTAGAGCCCCGACCACAATAGTGTTATTCCAAAGTTTCTCATGAACAGCAACATTTTGTTTTATATTATCTCATGATATTATGTGCCTGGGCCATGCCTTCAACATATTCTTCTGAAAGAAGAAAGAAAGTGTCCTGTTGTTATTAAACTACTGAGAAGTAAACTATCTTTGAATGACATAAATAAGCCCTATAAGATACAAAACATGTTTCACATTTTGCTTGACTCTGCTTTGTGTCACACTCCTTTCTAATTATTGAGACTGACAAGAAAGAATGGTCACCCAAAACATATGAAATGGCATATTTTCTTTTTGGAAATAAGTTGCCAGTTTCAGAGAGACTGATTTTAGCAAGTATTTTCCATGTATAAGACTATACTGTTGTCTAAAATCTTTAGACTAAAAATTGAGGGTCGTCTTATACACGGAAGTAAGCTGAAGAGAGAAAAAACAAGTGGAGGGGAAAGCAGGGATCAAAGTGATCCTGCAGGGCTTTGATCTCTGCTTTCCCCTCCACTTGCTAACCCTTAGCAAAAGGAAAGCAGAGATCAAAGCACTGCAGGATGCTTTGATCCTTGCTTTCCCCTCTGCTTACTAAGTCTCATGGGGCTTCACAAGTGTAGGGGGAAAGGATCAAAGCAATCCCATGGCTGCATAAGTGGGAAAGGGATCAAAACGATCATGCCGTTGCAGGATTGCTTTGATCCCTTTCCCCCTCCTTTTGCTAAGCCCTGTGGGGCTTAGCACGAAGGGAGGAAGCAGCCATCAAAGCGATCCTGCAGTGCTTTGATCCTTTCCCCTACACTTGCTAAGCCCCACTTAGATTTCTTAATTTTGGATTAGAAAAGGGGGGGGGGCGTCTTATACACAGAAAAATACGGTGGGTTGGTTAGGAGGACTGCCTTCAGCAGTCTTTTATCCAGCATTGAATGCCCTCTGCTGCTTCAATGGCATCTTTACATGGTGGAAAACACTTGAACAGAAAACATGTTGCTTGAGTTTTGATGACGTCAGTTGTTGAGTAGAATGAAATTTCTGTTGTGGACCATTTTAATGATAATTCATTATTGCTAGTTAGATGTGGCAAGGATACTTGGTTATGAATCCATTGCTGTTCAGGATGCTCTATATTACAATCTGTCATTATAGAGTAGTGCAAAATTTTATTTCATACCAACCTGGGTCAAAACATTTTGGTTCATGAAATGAAGAGCAAGGTACTATCCTATCCAATTCCACATTTAACAGCTGAGCAAATCAGCAGTTGAATTTTTCTTTCTTTTTTTTCTGTCCATGGGACGATGTCCTTTGGTGCACCTGAAGATAGGAACCTAAGTAAGGCGATGCAGAGCAGGCAGTGGTGTATACAGTTTTCTCCTCCAGCAACTTTGTCACTTGAGGTGACTGCTTTACTCTTCCTAGTGTTAAGGACAGTTTTGCTTGATGTTAAGCACAAACTAAATGTCATATAGGAGGCTTGTGATTAGGATCTCCTATAGGTAATCTTTGCTTATTCACTATTTGCAGGCTGTTCTCTCTTCCCTCGTCCCAAATTTGGGAGACCCTCTAGAAGATTGGGGTTGGTAGTACTGGGGTAGCAAACAAAATGAATTGTTCAATTCCCCCTTCCCATTTATATCAAGAGGGAAAAAAGCCATTCAGGAATACTTCTGTTAGTGGAATAAAACTCTGGATCCAAGCCACTGTGAACTGTACCTTAGTTTTTGGACAGGCAACTTTACAAACAGTTTTGTTACTTAAAACTCAAATAATTTAAAGTTTGTTTTCAACTTAATATTATTCAGAAAATAATATTACTGTAATAATGCTCTAAGTGTCATACCAGCAGATACCTCTTATTTGCTAATTTATTTATTTTCATATAATAGTGTAGAATTCTAGGATTATTAAATGTATTTATTTATGTTCTTGAATTTATGTTATGTTACATCATATCACATCACATCACATTACCTTATGTTATGTTTCTACCTCCCTTTTCCAGTAGAATGTAGCACTCAAGGCAGCTTACAGTCTTCATGAAAGAAAAAAACTGTTAAACCACATACAACTATAAAATCATAAAATCAATTAAAGATGGTCCTACTATTAAAACTATTAAAAATAAGTGAATATATTAAAACCTTAAAATTAATGAAGTATGCAATAACATAACATAATTTTAGTTCTGCATGTACTGAATGTTGAATATCTCCCATGTTTCTATTTCCTCTAGCTTTAAAATCTTGATTATGAGGTGTAAAGTGATACCGTCTGAATACCATCATATCTCCTAAGAATAATTTGTTTAAAGGCCAGGGGAACAGCCTGGTGTACATACATTGCAAAATTATTTCTCTTTCTCTTCTTTTTATTAAATGTTCATTGGTGTTTAATAATTGTTTGATCAGAATACCTTTTATTGGAGAGTATTTTACCTTATTCATTTAATTCTAGCATTATTACTGCCGTTATAATTTTCTAGCCTCAGTTATGCTTTAATCGATGAAAGTTTTGTTTCCTGGAATGTTTCTCTCAGTTGGGACAATTGCCCCACCACACTTACAGTATATTATATTCTATTGTACAAAAAAGTGCATAACATGTCTGCTTTATAGCTTCCTTTTAACATACACACCAGCAGAGTCTAATTCTTTTCTTGACTGTGTATTGTCAGAGGGATAGATCCAGTTTAAACATGTAGGAACTCTGGTTATTTAACTCATTTAACATTATATTTCATACAGAAGAATCTGTTCCTGAGTACAAAAATGTTTCATATATATGACATCTAGCACATGTTAAGATTTTTCCTGGCTTCTTGTTGTAGTTTAGTCGTTAAGTTGTGTTTGACTCTTCATGACCCCATGGACCAGAGCATTCGAGGCCCTCCTGTCTTCCACTGCCTCCCTTTTCCTGGCTACATGAGTGTATACCTTTCATATTTAGCATTCATTCATATCTGCCTCTACATGTATTTATTTATTTTATTTATTTATTTGATTTATATCCTGCCCATCTGGTATATCATACCACTCTGTACTTTCACTTTTCTATAACTCAGTGGCTAGAATCCTGTTGGCATAATAACACAGGCATAAATGGCAATGATGTAATCAATTCATGATGTTAATCTTTAATTTAATTTAATTTAAAGCTTCTTGTCCCCACTTTGGTTTTAAGGCTCCCCTCAGATCTATTTTGACTTGTGGAATCCTCTGGGAGCCTTGGGATGGAGGCAGAGACTTCAGTATATGAATATCTCTCTCAAACCAGTGCTGACGGTCCCAATCCAATCAGCAGGTTTCAGACTCACAAAGGCTTTCACAAGTGAAAAGAGATCCCTAGAAAGCCTTGGAACTGGGTGAAGGAAGAGTGAGGGGAAAGGAAGCTTTAAATTAAATTAAAGATTAACTACACAGGATGATATCATTGCCATTTATGCCTGCTTAGCTACACAAGAAGATTTCAGATGTCAGTTTACACACACTGACACAGACACAGACACAGACACACAAAGGCTTTCACAAGTGAAAAGAGATCCCTAGAAAGCCTTGGAACTGGGTGAAGGAAGAGTGAGGGGAAAGGAAGCTTTAAATTAAATTAAAGATTAACTACACAGGATGATATCATTGCCATTTATGCCTGCTTAGCTACACAAGAAGATTTCAGATGTCAGTTTACACACACTGACACAGACACAGACACAGACACAGACACACACAGATATCATTGCCATTTATGCCTGTTTAGCTACACAAGAAGATTTCACATGTCAGTTTACACACACTGACACAGGCACAGACACGCACACTCACACACACACACACACACACACACACACATATGTGTGTGCACCCCCCATACATCATATTTTAAATATCAATTATAAAAGTCCTTGTTATTCTCCTTTTTTCATTTATACAGCTATAAACAGATGTTTCCAGGAATCTGCACAAGAACACCATTTGATGGGCATTAACTATTCATGTTTTATTTAAATATTTTACTGCCTGCTGAGGAATGTTTCAACTCTTCCTCAGCATTCTCTCTCAGCCCCTAGCAATGTATTCCAAGAAATGTCTGAGCAGGCCCATTTTGATAAAGTCATAAAGAAGCTGTGAAACAAATTGTAATATGAATGTACTAACCATGATGGCATAATATCTGAACATGCAGTTTTACTAAATTCACTCTCCATGAAAGACTGCAGTGGAGCTAGTCGATGAAACACAGTTGTCCCTGGATATAAAATCTATAGAAAGGACAGAAAGAGATACATTAATAGGAGTGTTGTTCTATATGTCCAGGAGTTCATAGAGCCCAAGAGTTCACAGAAAAAGCAAAAAACAAGAAAATTTAAGAACAACCTCTCCACAGAATTACTGGATGTGGAAACATCAGGACTGGAAACTGGTCAGTATAATGGCAGAGCTTGAAAGCAACTAGTTACAAGTAACTAGCTTCCTTGATGTTTTTTTGCCTTTAACAAAGGTATGAATACATCACGTTGTGATTGAAAGTTAATGAGGGTCAATTTCATGTTTGTACTGTAACCAACTGTTGACTGCTTCTATAGCGGCACTAAATGAAGGAGTAAGAATATTACATGGTTCCAGGAGCTCCCTCATGCCACTGTGTGTCTTGATGTGGCCTCATCAGCCTGTTGGGGTGTTGCAGTGATGGTGAGGAATGTGAAACAGGAAAGTGAAGGCCAACTGTAATGGTTACTAATGAAAAAGGAGGCTTTGGAACTATAGCCGCAATGAATTAATTTTTATAAAAAACTTTCCAGGTTCTGACACTGAGAAAATTCTGCAATCCTTTCAACTCTTTGACCAAACTTTATTTATATCGTGAGAGAGGATGAAAACTGAGATCCACAAGGATAATATAATATCTCTGACTTGTTTTAACCAATATATCTTTACAAATGTACATCTTTGCTATTTGATGTGCCTTTTTTGTGTGAAAATAGGGTGATTGATTAGTTTCAAACTTTAAATATTCCAGTTTTATTAATCAGAAAAAGAAGTACAGTGGCTCCTCCTTTGAACTACTGAAGCTAGTTTGAGGAGAAACAGATACTACAAAAAAGCTCGTAAGTTTGGAACTGCCCATAAGAATTTGATACACAGCCTTGAGGAAGATAATTTATCATTGAAAGCTTGCTATTATTGTTCTTTAATATATATATTCCTAAAGGTCAATTAAAGGTATCACCTGCTCCTGCATTTGTATTGTTTCTACAGCCATGCAGCCTTTTCTTGATTTTTACTAATAATTTGTCATTGCATGTGGGGCCGTCTTAACTGCTGAAAGCAAATGCACAGCAGGAGTTATCACTTCCTCATGGACCTCCCAGAAGTTGCAAATTAGCTTTGTTTGTTCTGGTGATTGGTCTTCAGGATTTAAGCATGGGGATCCCTTTGAAATCTGATTTTTCAAACACAGAGGTCTGCAAGTCTGCTTCAGTCATTTTTATGGGTTATCTGTCACATCTGTTTCTGTTCCTTTGCTTCCCCTGGATCTGATAGCATTGAATAGAGGAGACTGAGCTCAGGTAATGTTGAGGTATATGCACAATTTATCAACAAGAGACAGAAAATATAACAAAAGTAGAAAGAAAGAAAGAAAGAAAGAAAGAAAGAAAGAAAGAAAGATGTGGTACCTTAAAGACTATCTTTAACTTAATTGCAAAATATATTATGCATAATAATAATAATAATAATAATTTATTGTCATTGTAAGTATATACACATATAATATATTATGCATAACTTACTATAAATTATTAATAAATTATGCATAATTTATTATAATTTATTATAATGTAATACATAAAACTGCATAATAAATTAATTGCATAATTTAGTCTCAGAAAACTTCAGTGGGAGGAATAGAGAGAGAATTAAACTCAAGCCTCTTTTTCACTAGCACAGGCTTTGGGCTGGATGTCCAGCTTATTGAACATCCCACCAGAAGTCAGGTTTTCATAGCATGAGCAAAGGGAAGACTAGAAAAAACCCTTTAATGCTCCTCTAGTGTGTGTGTTTGTTAAACTCCTACATCCTAATCTGGAGCAGAATATTTGGACAGTTGGAGCATTTTCCCATTCTGCAGAGGAAGAAGAGCACAGCATAGAATGGGTGGAACCTACATTGTATGCAAATGCAGTATGTGAAACTGTGGGCATAAGCAGTCATTATGACAGATAATCTGTAATGAGAACAGGAAGATACTTAAGGTCTAGTTGTATGTGAGAGTCATAACAGAAGATTCTTGTAACTCCTGGAGGGACAAAATAGCTCTCCCCGCCCATTCCCCAAACTAGCCTTAAGGATTTCAGCAGAGGATTCTTTTAAGTCTGATTTCTG